TGTTCTGCTGAACGTAGAAAATTTGATTCATCCAACTACCTAGAACAGTGATTGTGAAGCCCAATAAATTTAAAAAAGAGAAAGAAATATATTTTACATCACAGCACAATATTAAGCTCTTTATTCAGACAGACACAAACACACAAACACATAAATTTCATGAACTAATACCCTCACTACATAAGAACTCTCATTTTCTACTCTATTTAATTCATTTTACTTAATTGAGAAAAAATTCTGATTGCCATTCACTAAATTAATTACAAAACCCTTTAATGGGTTGCAACCCACAGTTTGAGAAATACTAACTTATAAAACATAAATGTATGCTATATTCTATTCCTAGTCCTAAAAAGACAATACTATGTGTTAATAAAACAAGGATCTCAGTAACAGTCCTGAATTGCCTTGATTGACAGCACATGCAATTTATCTCAATGAATTGAAAACAACAAATTTATAGAGTTGTTTTTTCAGGCCCTGGGTACCTACAACCACAGGAATCTTATATCTACCTTTTTCGAGGAAAAATATAACATGTTTTCTACTGAGGTTACTGATTTCATTTATTTGGCCTTAAGGATGTAGTAAAGGGACACATTAGAATATTAAAACCTATTATTACTTCCATGTACTCTAAAAGCTTGGCAGTAAAGTACTTGGCAGTAATCATTCTATGAAGTAATCATTCAAATGACCCTTTAAAGCAGTAAAGACACCTCCTGGCTGTCCCATGGCAAGAGCAATAATCCCAGCCTTACAGCCTCCTCTATTTCCCGAGGTTCTCAATTAACTTTCATTTATTTTAAGATCAAAGTCTGTGTGCTGTGGTTTAAAGAATGGCAGTCAGGCTAAGAGTTAGGCTAGAAATTAGAAGAATTCACAGAAGACAGATTTTTGCCCCTGGCCTCAGTATTCTCATCTGTAAAATGGGGAGATTGGATTGGGTCATCTCTAATGCTCTGCCCATCTCTAATATCTTCTACTTCTAGGAATCTATGAATCTGAAATTTACCACTTGTCATATTTATTACGTTAGCTATTCAATGCCTTTTTTTCTTTTTAAATGTTAACGCACTAAGAATGCATTCTATATCCAGCAAGCAGTACATGAATGTTCTAAAATGTAATATATTAAATTGACAACCTATTATTGTCTCGGAATAACATCTCTGGTATATAATTAGCTTTAATCTATGATAATTGCCTGCTGTTAATAGGATTCAGTATGTCTACTGAATTCTCTTTGTGGCGTTCATGGCCTATAATTATATCTCGTGTGCTACTCATGACACCTACTAGTAGTTGTAAGCTTCAAACCAGTTGGTGCTCAATAATTACTTAGAGCACAGAACTACTATCAGTATCCCACCAGTTTTCTCTATGTCCCTAGTTAAATCACCTGCCTTTTCTGAATCTTAAATTCCTCTTCTGTAAATTGATTAGGTTAAATTGAAACAGAGGTTTTCAAAATTGTTCAGACTAACTGGGATATGAGTTCCTTGAAGTTCCTTCATTTCACCTCTAAGATTTTGCAATTTTCATATGTACCAACTAAACTCAAGAAGAAAAATCATGAAAACATTGTCAAGATATAGTATATAACATATATAATAGTATTGTATAATGATATAAAGCTAATCATATAACCAGAGACAAAAAGTGAATTATACCATCTTACACATGTGTACTACTTAAAGAATTATCAAAATTTAGGGCCTTAACTTTGCTGGGAGCAGCAAACCATCTAAGAAACAGTAAACATCATAAAGTTTCCTCTAAGTATCAAAAAATACTCTTCAAAAACAAGGATGAATGATATTTGCTGGCCATGAGTCTAATGAAGTGTCTGAGTGTTTTTTTTTAATTATATTCTTTTTAAATTAATTCAAGAGATAAAGGTATTAATATTAATTCTACAAAACAAGCAGCACATAGACCAGTTATGTTCCTACTACAATCACTCTCTTCAATTGCTTTTCTTGAAGCTGAAAAAAAGTGAAGGCACCACATATTTTTTTCAGCTGCCTCTCCCTCTTGCTATTAACAAATAGATAATCTAAATTTCCAGGGACATTCAAAAACTGTGATGCTTTTGCCCCAGCCAGTGTTCTCAGTGGTTAGAGCGCCAGCCTGTGCACCGAATGATTGCGGGTTTGATTCCAGGTCTTGAGCAAGTACCTGGGTTGCAGGTGTGAACCCAGCCAGAGTTGGGGATGTAGGGGAGGCAACCAATCAATGTCTTTCTCACATCGATGTTTCTCTGTCTCTCTCTCTCTCCCTCTCCCTCCCTTACACGCTCTCTAAATATCAAGGGAAAACATATCCTTGGGTGAGGGTTAACAATGAATTAATTTAAAAATGTATGATGCTTTTAAAAGACATATTCCATTTGTAAATAGAATGATTATAAGTCATTTATATCCTTGCTGTGTTTAGTTAAGGAGAAACAAAACATTACAAAACAATAACAACAAAAAGAAACATCCTTCTCTTACCCAGCCATTTTTTTCTGACAGCTTTGGGGCTTAGATTACTAAATGTATTAAGAACTTTTTCACTGCTAAAATAAAATAAAATAAAAGATCAAATTCAAATGGAAATCAGCAAATTTTATGATTGGAATTTTTTTTCTTTTGACACTTGAATCATTCAGTGGAATCCACATAAAAAGTAATAAATTTACTGTTTCTACTTTATATACATTAGTTATCTTCTTTAAATCCTCAAAACAACCTAATAAGACTTTTACTATCACCCCTCCTTTATAAATAAAGAAACTCGACTTTAGAGAAGTTAAGACACTCCTGGGGGCCAAGTACCTAAGAAGTGACTGAGGATGAACCAGGATTGAAACACTGTGATGCTGTTGCCCAGCATTGAAGATTGAAACCATGGCAACTGGATCCCAAACCCCATGCTCCTTTCTGCTAACACCCTTCCTCTCTGTTCATGATTCTTTACATCTGCACAGGGCTTTTCACTGACATTATTTTCACAAGAACGAAAGGTAGCTTGGAGTTAGTTGCTCTGCCATGCTTTTCTTAACTTCTGTTCCATTGTATAATGGGTCTTAACTTCTCAAGAAGGCAGAAACAAACTCAATGTCACAAAAAGTATCTTAAATATAAGAATGTTATGTTGACTGGCTGGGAGCTATGATGTGCACTGACCACCAGAAGGCAGACGCTCAATGCAGGAGCTGCCCCCTGGTGGTCAGTGTGCTCCCACAGCCCACAGCGGGAGCGCCTCTCGGCTGACCAACAGGTGTGCCAGATGCTGGGCTAGGAGCACCCCTGCAGTAGTGCAAGCTTCCTTCCCGGACACTCCCTCTGCACTGCCCTCCCCCTTGAGCTGGCAGGTAAGGCCGGACTGTAGAGGTGTAGAGGTCCACTGATCCCCACAGGCCAGGCCGAGGGGCCCCGATGGTGCATGAACCCATGCACCAGGCCTCTAGTTATACAGAATTAGCTTCAATATTATTATTTTAAACAATATTCTAACGAAATAAATGGAAACAATAATCAAAGAACAATCTTTATTGCATTATTATACATCAACAAATCAATTTGCCCTAGCTGTTCATGATTCTTTACATCTGCACAGGGCTTTTCACTGACATTATTTTCACAAGAACGAAAGGTAGCTTGGAGTTAGTTGCTCTGCCATGCTTTTCTTAACTTCTGTTCCATTGTATAATGGGTCTTAACTTCTCAAGAAGGCAGAAACAAACTCAATGTCACAAAAAGTATCTTAAATATAAGAATGTTATGTTGCTGATTTTCTAAGGAGTCATTTAAAAAAATAATCCTTGGGTTTGTGAAGGAGTAGAAAGCCAATATTCTTTAATTTATTCAGTTTTATAAACTTAATATTTATTTACTGTAAATTTACAATAATAAACTAGTTTTGGTATTTTGTGTCAAAATGAATTTCTCAAGTAGTAATCTATATACATAAAACCCTGCCCTAACCAATTTGGCTCAGTGGATAGAGCATCGGCCTGCGGACTCAAGGGTCCCAGGTTCGATTCCGGTCAAGGGCATGTACTCTGGTTGCGGGCACATCCCCAGTGGGGAGTGTGCAGGAGGCAGCTGATCGATGTTTCTCTCATCGATGTTTTTAACTCTCCCTCTCTTTAAAAAATAAATAAAAAATATTTAAAAAAAAAAAAAAAAACCCTAAGCGACCAGATGACTGGCTGGTAGCTATGATGTGCACTGACCACCAGAAGGCAGACGCTCAATGCAGGAGCTGCCCCCTGGTGGTCAGTGTGCTCCCACAGCCCACAGCGGGAGCGCCTCTCAGCTGACCAACAGGTGTGCCAGATGCTGGGCTAGGAGCACCCCTGCAGTAGTGCAAGCTTCCTTCCCGGACACTCCCTCTGCACTGCCCTCCCCCTTGAGCTGGCAGGTAAGGCCGGACTGTAGAGGTGTAGAGGTCCACTGATCCCCACAGGCCAGGCCGAGGGGCTCTGATGGTGCATGAACCCATGCACCAGGCCTCTAGTTATACAGAATTAGCTTCAATATTATTATTTTAAACAATATTCTAATGAAATAAATGGAAGCAATAATCAAAGAAAAATCTTTATAGCATTATTATACATCAACAAATCAATTTGCCCTAGACAGTTTGGATCAGTGGATAGATCATCTACCTGTGCACCAAAGGGTCCCAGGTTCCATTCCAGTCAAGGGCACGTATGTTAGTTGCAGGCTCCTCCCAGCCCTGGCCCTGGTCAGGGTGCATGCAGGAAGCAACCAATCAATGTGTTTCTCTCATATAGATATTTCTCTCTGTCTTTCCCTCTCTCTTCCACTCTCTCTAGAAGTCAATGGAAAAATATCCTCCAGTGAGGATTAAAAACAAAATAAAACAGAACAAAAAAACAAATTAATTTGTTCTCTTTATTTCTCATATCCCCTTGCAAAATGTCCTTAGCCAAATAACTAATTTTATTTTTTGGCATAAATTGGAGACTTGCTCAGGAGTCTTGAAAAATCTTAATAAGCTTACCTTTTGTTTGCCGAGGGGCTCACTTTGATAAGATCGTTCAGGTCCTGGTTCCTAAAACAATGTTGTAAGTTTCAATAGCTAGTCAAATCAACTAAAATCAATAATGTGCATATTTTTTCAACCTTAATATTTAATTCAATTATTGTTCTAATTTAATTTTTTATTGATTGATTTTAGGGAAAAAGATAGAGGAAGGGAGAGAGAGTAATACAGATTTGTTATTCTACTTATTTATGCATTCATTGGTTGATTCTTATATGTGCCCTGACTGGGGATCAAACCCTCAACCTTGGCAGATCCGGACAACACTCTAAGCAACTGAGCTACCTGGCAAGGGCTGATTGTTGCTAATTTAAAACTTCATCATTACTTAAATTCTCTTGTTAGCCCTAGGAAAAACCAGATTGCTACTATCCATTTCTTGCATAATTTTGTACTTATGAAAATTCATTTTCATTTTATTTTATTTCTTTAAAGGTAACCTCAAATTTAAATTACTTACAAACTCCTTATTATCTATATTATATTTTATAGTAGAATTAGCATTAAAAATATTTTTGGAGGTTTCAATAGATAAGAGGAAAATATAAAATTGCTCATCATTTTCGTATCTTCCATATTTCTCTCCCTCTCCTCCAAAAAAACCCAACCAACTAAACAAACATAAAAACTGAGACTTTCAAAAACAAGTTATTTTCTGATTCTAAGGCATATAGTAATATATATAACATGAATATGTAATATTGAGGTTACTTCAAAATATAAATGAAATCACTTCAGAATCACGCTTTATGCAATGCTAAATCAGAACTAGTAAGACTTCAGATTATAAAACTTGTTTTTATTCTAAACATTCAAATAGGCAATCATAACTTTAATGGGACATTTCTGCTATTACACTGGGCTTTCATACAAACCCTAATACCAAAGAGCCTGAATAAAAACCCTAAGTTTATATACTTCATTGTGGGGACAATGTTATAGATCCTGAGGAGAAACAAAGATCAGAAAGGCTTATATCACTTAAATAATTTTTAGGATTAACCTGCAAACTCATTTTATGCACATATCTTCCCATATGACTATGTTGAACTATATGAAATTATCATTTGGTGGGTCAAAAATGGTTGAATATCAATCATTTTATAAGTTTCAATATAATAGGATAATTTCTTTGTTATCTTTTTTAAATGATTTTTTAAATTGATTTGAGAGAGAGAGAGAGAGAGAGAGAGAGGAGAGAGAGAGAGAGAGAGAAACGTTGATCGGTTGGCAACTTCCTGATGCATGGTATTGGCCGGGCTGCTATCTTCTTTGACTTAAGCATTGAGTAGTGCTACAAGGACCCAACAATTAAGAAAAAATAGTAACAATAACACTAATAGATAATGGCTAATAAGTACTTGAGTGCTGAGTGCTTTACAGGCTCAATCTTACCTAATTTTTGTAGTAACTCACTTTACAGGTAAATAAGCTCAGGCTTAAAAGAGATTAAACCAATTGTTTCTACAGCTGTAGAAACTAAGTATTTTTGGAAGAGGAACAAGGGAGACCTAACTTTCACTGAATCTTAATCTCCAAAGTAAAGTATTACATAGCCTCTAAACTCAATATCTGACTCCCAGACAAAGACAATAATGTTATGTTCTTATTTGGTGAAAAAAACACCCCAAAACTAAGGACAATTTAGCACTAAATATTCAGATAAAATAGTGATAAAATTTTGGGGTAACTATAAAATAAAATATATGCAAAGGGTGGGGATGGGTGGGCAGTGGACTGTGTTTGGGAAGTTACCCCAACTATATTCAGAATTCATCTTTCACACCCACATAAAATACTATCTAGTCCAGCCTGCAGTCTGGTTTTGTAAATAAAGTTTTATTGGAACACAGCCACATCCATTTGTTTATAATGTACTATGTATGGCTGCCAGTTGACTAGTTAAAACAGAACTGTTTTGGACTCCCCAGACCTTAAATATTTACTGTCTAGAACCTTCAAGCAAAAGTTGCTGTCTCCTGATCTAGCCTAAGACTCTTTACATGATAGCTACATAGTGTAAAAGAAAAGCATTCCTATGTGCAAAGAAAGGAAATCTACCAGAAAAAAAAATATATTCCTTAGTATCTTTTGTATTTGACTCATGTTCAAACTACCATGACAATATATGTTTATAGCATCATGGTTTTGTCATCTTTTTGCTTACTTAACATGATGTGTCTTAGAGAAAATTCCCTCTATATGAAAGACAAATGTCATTTTTTAAAAATGTGCTTTTATTGGTTTTAGAGAGGAAGGGAGAGGGAGAGAGAGATAGAAACATCAATGATGAGAAGGAATCATCTATAGGCTGCCTCCTGCATATCCTCTAGGGGGGATCGAGCCTGCAACCCAGGCAAGTGCCCTGGCAGGGAATCCAGCCACGACCTCCTGATTCATGAGTCGATGCTCAACCACTGAGCAACACTGGCGAGGCAGAGAAATGTCATTTTTTATATTCCTTATTATTTCAATGAACTAAGAATAATTTTTTCAAATGACCTTCCAATTTTAGGGTTTTTTTTTGTTTGTTTTTGTGGGGGTTTTTGTGGTAGACAGTAAGAGTAGAGGGAATAAAGAAGGGGGGAAGAAGCAAGGAGAAATTTCCTTTGGGCTTGGCGGAGTGGGCTAGAAGGTGTCAATAGGAAAAAGGGGGACATCTGTAAAACTTTCAACAATAAAGATTTTAAAAAATAAAAAATAAATAAAAACAACAACCTTGTTTAGAGTACTTATCTCTAGGAAATTGTTTTGGGATGATGTTTCATCTCATGATTCATTTTGAAGGAACCCCAAGCATGGAACACAAATCCCATACTGATAAGAGATATTCTAAAGAATTTCCTCTCCTCCACTAAAGCTCACAGCCAGGGAGCCCTGAACAAGAATGTAAATGCCAGATTGCTGACACAGAGCTATTGATTTTGAGTCCCCTCGCTGGCTGTCTCCATGATGGGACAATAAGTTTCATCATGTTTTTAAGTCAAATAGAAAAAAGGGGGATAAGAGACAGGAGAGTTCCATGAACCTCACCTTTGGTTAGTTCTGTTTGTTTCAGGAGCCACCTTGATGAGGCTGGCAACACTTTGGCACCTTTAAGACATTATAGAAATGATCAGATCAATGGTCCATTTATATCATGCAGTTGCAAATATTTATTAAAACTTAGGGACATTTTTATTATAAAATATTTTATTATTAAGTATTTATTATAACAGAGATATCTCAAAGGATTAAAGTGTTTCTGCGCTGTGAATATATTTATTGTGCCCTAGCTATAACTGCATAGAAAGATTTTACAATAACTAAAGCTTTTAGAAAATTTAGAAAATTTGTGATGGGCCACTGTTCTAAGTGATTTACATAATTAATGTGATTTAAACCTCACCTCAAATCTATGACAGAAGAACTATCCTCCCAATTTCATGAAGGGAAAAACTGAGACACAGAAAGATTAAGTTTTTCCTACATGGCTAAGGGTGGCAGGGTTGAAATTTCAAGCTAAGCAATCTAACTCCAGAGTGCATGCACTTTCTGTTACTCCAACCATCTTCCTGAGACGTAGTATTGGAATTAGCGTTGGACGTAACTAGAGCAGTTGGTCCAACTTCCTCGCTTTGAGGATGAGAAAAATGAAGCTCAGGCAGGGAGGAACCAATCTGGTTCACACAGTGAGTGAGGGCAGAGCCCTCACGTGCAGATTCCAGTCCAGTTCTCTTTCCCCTTTCCTGTGCCACCCCTCTGCTCAACAAAACAAATAAATCAATGAATAAAAGTGTCCTGTCCATCCTGGAAAACAACTATTCACCTAATTGGCCAAAATTGTTAACATTTTAGATATAAGGTTGTGGAGGTTACATGGCTTTCTTTGAACTCTCAAGTGCCAGTCAGCTGAAATGATGATTTAATTCTATTTTAAGCACTGGGTCAGCATGAAATGAGAAAGAAGAGCTTATTAAATCTCACCCTTGCACACTTTTGTCTGTTCTTGGATTCACTTTGATGAGGTTATCAAGGTCTCTGGAACTTTAAACCAAAAAGCAAACACATGGTAAGTAAAAATGGAATTAAATCAACTAAGTATATTAATTTAAAGACTATATGTACTCAAGATGAATTATACTATTAAGTTTTCATATTTGAATTAATACCAGTTTATGCCCTTCATTTAAAAGAGAGAGGGAGAGAAAAGACCTCTATACAAATCATTGACACACTGGCCAGTTTCTCATTTACCCTAAAAATAAAACTGTAAAAGTAAGCAAGATTGAGTTTTAAAAAAAATATTCAGGAATTATTTAATGATTTGCCAAAAACTTTCACCTGGCTCCTCTGATGCTATAGCTATACCCTTTTTGTGTTAATGATTTACATTTATAGTGCATTTTTGCTTTAAAGGGATTTTATACCCATTATTTTTATATCCATTCTCTTAATAATCAAGTGACAAAGGTGGGAGAAACATTTTATAACTATAGAGGCCTAAGCCAGTGTGTTCAAGGCACCCACGTGGCAAATAATGGAACCCAGACTTCCTGATTCAAACTCAAAGCCTTTTCCACACAGCCTCTCTGAAGAGTGCCACAACTCTATGCAGCTGGGGAAGGAAGAATGATCAGACATAATCCTCACCCTGAGTTACTTCTGTTCACTTCAGGGGTCACTCTGCTGAGATTGTCAAGACTCTGGCCCCTTTAAAAGATTAAAAAAATAATGAGGTTAATGAGAGATTAATAACAAGTGGGAAAAATAATTTATTAAAATTCAGAAACAGTATCAACACTTAGTGAGATCATGTCAAAGAGTTGGAGATTGGTAAAGGCGACTGCAGAGGAATGTAGGAACTTATGCATCTCTAAAACTCATGGAGACTCAGCGAGAGATTTTAATCTTGGAGCCATTATGCCAGTAGCAAATGCCATACTAGGACTCTGTATCTATCATGATTTATTTAATGCTATACTCTTGACCTTTGCCAGGTGCACTAAACATTTTGTAGTAATCCTATATATGTCTTATGGCACATTCCAGAAGGCACCCTCTTAATAGCATACTTTAACATGCTGAGGAACTTTCAAATTAATTTTGGAGAATATATATTTTGTAAATGACACTCTTTAGCAAGTTTGCTATTCACAATAATGGATTAAGATTAGTATACCAGTTTGTTAATGTTCATGATATACAGCCCGGTATCTACTTCAAGTACTTACAACTGTGTGTTAAAATTACATTTTTACTAGTTCTGTGTTGGCAACAAACAATATAAAGATTAAAATCCATGGAGTTCTGAAATGTAAAATATATTTACTGTAATATAAAACTCTACATAGTCCCTGAAAACACGTCAGGACTTCATTGTTACCCTTTAGAGCAGCGGTTCTCAACCTGTGGGTCGCAACCCCTTTCGGTCAAACGACCCTTTCACAGGGGCCGCCTAAGACCATCCTGCATATCAGATATTTACATTACGATTCATAAGAGTAGCAACATTGCAGTTATGAAGTAGCAACGAAAATAATTTTATGGTTGGGTCACAACATGAGGAACTGTATTTAAA